GGAAGGGAAAAAGGGAAGGAGGGAGAGAGAGAGGAATGAAGGAAGGAAATGTATGGTTTGTTTATATCTGTGCTCAGGTGCCAAGGACCTCAGAAAGTAACTGACTGTGCCTAGTAATAATCAGATATACAGAGATTAGAGACACATGCGTAAACATCTAAGTGTTAGTTGCATTAAAAATGAGTTTTTCTGTATGAAACAGTGTATTTTAATAATGAAATGGAGATCTTTTTTAAAGGTTAAAACCTCATTCAATTTTATGTCTTATAGGTTTATACTGAGTACAATATTGTATAACTGTATTAATTCAACTGTAAACCCAAAAATTTACAGCCAATTCTGAAAGAGATGCATTTTACCTCTGGAAATTGTTATTGACCATGTCAATGCTGTTGTAATGAAATGCTTCTTCTAATTATGTGGTTATTAAATAGATAATTTAAAAAAAAGAAGTGCTGTCTGGTCATAGCTCAATCCTCACTGACACTCCAAGTGTCCCCCTTCCTCTCTCCACTTCCTGAGAGTCTACCCTGAGCACCCCGTTATTCCACTGTGTGCCAGCTGTTAGCCCTGGTTCCTTCTGATTCCTGTTGGCTTTCTCTTTGTCTTAGGGAAGTGACAAGCTGAGCCTTGAGCTCTGGAGTGCACCAATGGCTGGCACTCTTGCATTTTTTTGGTCACCTACTCATCTGCCTCTTCTGGGGTTCAGGTATCAAAACCACAAGAGGGAGGCTGGGGAAGGTAACCCCAGACATGCCTTAAGGAGGGCGTGGAGGTGGGACTCCTAACCAATATAACTTGGAGGTAATCTTAGGTCTGTGGGGCCAGGGCTTGCCTGGTCTGCAGAGCTCAGCCAAGCAGGCACTGGGGAAGGAGCCCACAGGCCACAATCCTAAATGGCACCTCTCAAGGCCTCTCCATAGTGGATCTGATTTAGAGAGAGACAGGAATGAGAATATGGGTTTTGAGACTGCACAGCTCTGGGTCTAACCCCAGCTCCATTTCCTGGGAAATCCATTTTTGTCTCTGTGAGTCTCATGTGTGATGTGGCCATTGCCGGCACCTCTGTGGCTCCATCATGAGGAACAAATGAAGTATCACAAGAAGCTCAACATGTCACACATATACCTGTTATCACCTTCCCTGATAGGTCAACATCATTTTCTGAGACTCAAAATAACCCATGACTGCACCTTCCTCTGACCCCTTGCTTCATCCTCAGAGCATCCTTACTAACAATCTGTGTGAGATCCCACGTCACTGAGGAAGCGCCAAGGTCCTGGGAGGACTCCTGTGCCATCACACAGCTAGCCTAGAGATGAGTCTGCTTGGAACTCGTAAAAAAACCACCAGAAGGGCGGCTGTGCTGTGGTGAGCACTTCAGGTACCAGGCCCCATGTTCAGTACTCTGAACTATCACTTTCCAATTAACACACATAATGACCATCTGTGTTAGATAGCACTGAGAGCCATGTTTTACAAAGACTGGAACTGAGCCAGAGAGTATGTCCCTATGTTAGCAGCCAAGCTGGCCTGTCAGGGGCTGCCTGGCTTTACAAATCTGTAGCATGGTTTCTGGATACCATCAGTCACTGGCCCCTCCATCAAAGCCTTAACTGGCTGTTACTGTGGCCCCCACAGGGCAGCTCCCCACCTTCAACTTAACCCTGAGGGACAGGGTGGATAGAAATTCATAGCCCAGAACTGTAAGCCACTCCTTGTGAGTCCTGCCAACTTAGTGGGTTCTTCAGGTAAGAACCAGCAGAATCAGGACACATGCAGCACCCATGGCCACAGGGCACAAGGGTCAGCTCTGGGCCTAATTGGGAAGTTAAACAGTCTGTCTTTCTCATCCTCTCTTGATACTCACTGCGTCCCAGAACATGAACCTCTCCATTTGGGACTACAGTGCTCTTAGCAAAATTATTTATCATCTATGAGCCTCAGTTTCCTCATCTATACGATGGGAATAATGGGGATGGGAAGATGGCTTAGTTGGTAAAGTATTAGCCATGCAAGCATGGGGACCTGAGTTCGGATTGCTAGTACCCATGAGCAGGAGTCCATAATCTCAGTGCTGGGGAAGTAGGAACCAGTAGATCCCTGAAGTTCACTGGCCAGCTGGTCCAGCTGAGTAGGTTAGCTCCAGGTTTAATGAGAGACCCTGCTGCAAAAAATAAGGTGCAGGGCTGCAGAGATGGATCAGCAGTTAAAGGTGTTTACTGCTTTGGCAATGGACCCATGTTCGCTTCCCAGCACCTACATGGTGGCTCATAACTACCTGTAACTCCAGTTCCTGGGATCTGATGCTCTCTTCTGGCCTCCATTGGCTCCTGCACACATATGATATGCATAAACTCATGCAGGCACACACATAAATAAATACATAAGTAAATCCTAAAAAAATGTAAGGTGGAGCTTGGTGAGTGCCATATGCCTTTAATCCCAGCTCTCGGGAGGCAGGCAAATCCGTGTGAGATGGAGGCCACCCAGGACTACCTTGTGAGTGCCAGGCCAACATGGGCTATAGGGAGACTCTGTCTTTAGAAATAAAAATAAAAACAAACAAAAAAATTAGGTGGAAAGTAAGATACACTGGCTTCTACCTACATGCATGCATATGTGTACATACGCACATCAACACATACACATGTAAAAATAAAAATAAGTAGAATATAAACTAAAATGGGAGTTAGAATCCCAAGGTTTCGGTATGGATGCAGGAGGCAGTGGAGACAAAGAAGCTGGTGCTGTACCCAGCATACTGTGGATGCTTAATACACGTCAGCCTCTTTCCCTTGGGCCTGCAGAGCCCTGGACTCCCTGTGGTGGCTAAGGAAGCTGCATCTGTCTTTTACACCTGGAACAGGGATGGGAACACACAAATTGGGAACCAGGTAAGTCCCGGCTCTCCCAGTTACTATCCTGTCTTGAGGACCTCTCTGGATCTCCGTTTCCTCATCTGTTCATTAAATAAGGTGAACAATTCCTTTCAACTCCTGCCCTATGGTATCAAAGGGGATGACATTATAAAGGGCTCTATATACTCTAAAGTGCAGTGTAAAGGTCAAGGGCGAATGAGGGCAACCCCAATCCATCAAACATCACTACCACATGCCAGCAGAGGCAGCTCACCTCAATGTATTTTACCATTGGATTTTTGTAACTTAGAGGAGACATGGCTTCCAATGTACGGAGCAGGAAACTAGCCCAGAGAGGTTATTCAGTTGACTCAAGATCTCACAGTAAGTAGCAGTCAGCCCCAGGCCAGCCATCAGTGACAGCAGCAGAGGGACCTGTCCATCTTCTCAGACTAGTCTCCTGCTTGACTAGTAGCCCTGCTGAGGCCCTTCCTGGGTCTTTATACACTAGGGAAGGGACAGTCCTGAGTTCCAGTCTTACAAACACAGACGTATTTGCTTTTTAAGCTTCTGGTTCCCAAATGAAAGCCACCTTTGGTGTCATTGGCAATCAGGGGTTATGTTGAACTAGGGCTTTGCAGTTTCTGGTGTACAAAATTCCTTCAACCCCACCTTCATACCCCTCACCTGCTCTGACCCTCAGGGAGACAGCAGAAAGGGTATTACTGCCTTGGATGAGCTGAGGGTTCCTGTCAGGAGCTGCTGGGAACCATGGGAGAAAGGGAGGGTAGGCAGCCTAGCAACAGCTGTGCTCTGGGACTGGTGTAGGAAAGAAAATCAAGGTTGTCTTTAACCTGCTTGTTGTGTTTCCACTTTCATCTGAAGGACACAGATACCCAAAATCCAGTTGTCAATTGGAATCACTTGCTATCAAATAAGATGATTTTTGTCCCTTAGAGAGGATTTGTCCTCCTTTAGAGAGCTGCCTCTCTTACCTACTAGTCAATATCTTCAGGACTTTAACAAAATGAAGAAACTGGGTGTGGTGGCTCACACCTGTAATCCCAGCACAAGGGAAGCTAAGGATGGCTTCAAGTTCAAGGCTAGACTTGGCTACACAGGGAGACCTTATCTCAAAAAAAAAAAGAAAAATCACCCACCAAAAAAAACCACCCACCCACCCAACCAACCAACTAACCAAGCAACCAACACACCAACACAAACAAACAGTTATATATTCATGGAATCAAGTTCTTTCATTGATGGACGAATTCAATGGTTTTTCATGACCTGGTCTTTCCCTAGCTTTGGGGCCCCAGGATAGGGCAGAGGTCAACAGGAAAGGGATTGACCAAGGGGTTCTTCAAGTCAGTAGTCTGTGGTCCAGCACATGTGGGGGTTCCTTCTGGAAGAGGATCTACTAGGCAGGCAGGAATTTAAACATTAACCTGGAATAGAGCTATAAGCAAGACAGAAGTCTAACCACTGACTCAAGGTCAAAAGGACTTGATTAGCTGGGTTATCCCCAAAGGCTGTTACAAGGCACCTAGAGAAGACTAATTGGAATGAGGAACTGCTGATAAACTTCTTTTCTGATCCTCCTACCTCCACCTCTCCAGTGCTGGGATTACAGTGCCACCACCACACCAAGTTTTAAGAGAGCTGGGGACTGAAGCCAGGCCTTGTACACTGGTAGGCAAGCACTCTACCAACTGAGTGACAGCCCCCTGTTGTTAAGAGTTTCCATGGGTCACAATGGTACACTCTGAGCTGGTACACCCAGCCTCCATCCCTTTCACTTAACATTGCAAAGTCCATCAGTGCTAGTTAAGAGCTGAGCTGCAGCTTGAAGTAATGGCTTCCAGCTCTATGGACCTGTTCTGTGACATATACCTCATGTGTGCTCTCTACTGTTGTAAACTGTCAGTGTTACTGATCCCCAGTCACAGTCAAAAAGACTGAGGCTCAGAGTTAACCAACTCACAAGGTGGGATCACATAGTGGGTGCTGACCCTCAAATTCAGTTCCACCTACTTCAGAGTCTGGGGTCTGAGTCCTGTCCTCTCACTAGGTCGGGCAGGCAGGTACCAGCAGACATACATGACCTTCTTCAACCCTGTTGTTTTCCCTGGTACTTACCGAGCAGGTGTTTGATGATGGCTTGGTTGTGTTCCCAGAGGTTGCTGAAGGTCCCCCAGCGTGAGTGGCCATCAGGTACGGGGTTGGACTTGATCCAGCCTCCACAGGCATAGCTGAAGAAGTCCTGGCAGGGATCTACCGTGGGGTCCATAGAATTCAAGATGGAGCTGGTCACTGAGACGCAGGCCTCGCTCAGACATACTGAGGACATTCCTGAGGGCCAAAGACAAGAGGTCAATGATGAGCAACTAGCACAGGTGGCCCGGGGCCTAGGGGCTTCAAGCTCCATCCGGCCCGGATCTAGCTGAGTGGTCACTAGACCCCTGATGAGGTATGAGCTCAGTAGATTTAGGATCTCTTGACATGAAGAATAAGGCCTCTGTTTAACTGCTTGAACTCCTTTGGTGGTTTCAAAGTGCCCAGAACCAACTGCTTTGCTCTCAGTGATCCTTCCTTCCAGGGAGACTCGCTGGTCCCCTGATGCTCAGCAAATGGCCCTGATGCTCAGAAATGTGCTCTCTCGTTCATACATTCACCTTTTCAATAAAAAGAAACATTGAATGTCTTCCAGGTTTTTTTTTGTGTGTGTGTGTGTGTGAGAGAGACAGAGAGAGATAGAGACAGACAGAGAGAGAGAGAGAGAGAGAGAGAGAGAGAGAATACAAGGGGCAAAGTCCTTTCCTTCAAGAGCCAACAATTTAGTTATGGAAATATACATTATATAATAAAAATCAATAACTGTATATGGTGGCACTTGCCTGCCACCACAGTACTTAGGAGGCTGAGTCCTGTTTGAGGCCAGTGTGGGCTACATAATGAGACACTGCCATAAAACACTAAGGGCTAAGCCAGGCGTGGTGGCACATGCCTTTAATCCCAGCACTCGGAGGCAGAGGCAGGCGGATCTCTGTGAGTTCAAGGCCAGCCTGGTCTCCATGGTGAGTTCCAGGTCAGCTGGGGCTACAGAAGACCCAAAAAAAGTGAAAGGCAGGGCATGGAGGCATACACCTTTAATCCCAGCACTTGGGAGGCGGAGGCAGGCGGATCCTTCTGAGTTCAAGGCCAGCCTGGTCTGCGTAGTGACTTCCAGGCCAGCTGGGGCTACAGGGAGACCCTGTCTCAAAAAGAAAAAAAAAAAAAAAAAGTGAAACGAAAAAATAAAAAGACAGCTATAGGCAAAACTGTCACTCATTCTACAAAAATAAACTGAATATTGACTCTAAGTCAAGTGGGTGGTATGGGCAGTATGGGGCCAGGACACAAGTAGGAGATGAGGAGGACCAGGGGAAGGGTCCCATGGGAGACCATTCTTTCTTTCTTTTTTTCTTTTTTTGAGGGGGGGGTTCTTTTTGAGACAGGGTCTCCCTGTAGCTGCAGCTGGCCTGGATTCGCTACGGAGACCAAGCTGGCCTCGAACTCACAGATATCTGCCTGCCTCTGCCTCCCGAGTGCCGGGCGTGCACCACCACACCCGGCTAGATCATTCTTTCTAAGCACAAGGCAAGAGAGCTGACTCAATGAATCCTCAAAACAGGGGCTAGATCTTGGTAACCCTATTGCTGAAGACACTACATACGTGGGCTGCAGAACAAACGGAGAAATCAAGCTGGTGATGACTTCAGGGCCAAATCTCTACTGACTAGCTTTCAGAGTGCTGGAACGTGCTATGCATGCTACCCCAAGGATAAAACAATTATCAGCCTTACCCAGCTGTGAATTCTGTGAACTACAATAACTGACCTGGCAAGATATACCCATCGGTGCAATAGTGGCACAAATATTATGGGAGTAACCAAACACTCTCTATTTGGATTAGAGTTTGCTTCATAGGATAGAACTCATAAATGACATTGATATCAGGCTCAGAAACCTGAGGCTTAGACATGTCACAGGACATAGGGGAGAGCCTAATACTAGTTTTCTACTAAATAGTTGCAGTAGTAAGCTGACTCCTAATGACTTATTGTTATACTCATTGATTAATGCATCTCTCTAGTCTCACCAGAGAAGTTTCCTTATGCAGCAGATGGTGATTAACACAGAAACCCACAACTGGCCAATGTGCAGAGAACAAGAGGCTGCAGAGTGCTTATCCCTGAATGGGACATCTATATCAAACTTCTACCTTCTAAGGCTCAGGGATCATTGTGGAAGAGGGAGTGGAAAGATGGTAAGAGCCAGAGGTAGTGGATGACCACAAGAAACAGAGTTTTCCAGAGAGCTGGTCAGTTACTCTATAAACTCATGGCAGTGGTGACAGCATGCACAAGTTCCATGTGAGCACAAACAGACAAAATCCCAGCATAGTCATGGGGAAGTGGGCAAGAAACCCAACCCAGTCCACCCAATCTAAGGAACTTTGGGCAACCAATGGCTTCTGGGAGGGGGAGAGATTATCTCTTTCAAGGATGGGACTCTTGGTAGGTTAACCAGGCTCTAGTGGATGGACCCACACTGAAGGACATTTGGGAACACAAACTAGACTCTATAGGCCTTATTATCTCTATATAATAGAGTATATTAAATTGGGTGGGGGCAATAAGGGGAGGTGGAAATAGGGGAGGGGATCTAAATGCCATGAAATTGTATGAAAATAAGCAAAAATTCAATTAAAGAAAAAAAAAAAAACCCAAAGGGGGGGCTGGGAATGTAGCTTAGTGGTAAAGAACTTGCATTGCAAGCATGAGGCCCTGAGTTCAATCCCTAGCACATTGGTGGGGAGGGGGGACTTTTCTCACACACACACATACACACAAAATTAGGGCTGAGGTAGCTCAGTTGGTGGCAGGTGGATCAGAAGCACAAGGTCATCCTCAGCTATGCAGAGTTGGAGGAGGCCAGCCTGGGATGCATGAGACCATCTCAAAATACAAGTGGCTGGAGAGATGGCTCAGCAGTTAAGAACACCAGCTGCTCTTGCAGAGGACCTGGGTTTGGTTCCCAGCACCTACATGGCAGCTAATAATGGTCAGTAACTCCAGTTCCAGGGGATCCAATGCCCTCTTCTGACCTCCACAGGCATTGCATGACACGGGTGCACTTACATGTAGATAACACACTCATATACATAAAATAAAAATAATAAATAAAATATTTTTTTTAAAACCCCAAATTGTTGAGCTATTGGCAGCTGAGCTTAAAAGAATTTCTTTATTTTTGTACTGGGGATGGAACTAGGGCCCCACACATGCTAGGCAAGCGCTCTAGCACTAAATCACACCCCCAGCTCACAAAGAAGTCTTTCTGTGGTGGAGGCGATGCTGTCACGATAACTCTAGATCAGATCATCTTAATCAGAGAAGCACATCCCAGTTCCCAGCCATGGGAATGGTCAGAACTTTATGAGGGGGAGGGGAAGACACTCCTGTGTAGCTCGAAAAAGGCCATTCACTATTCTAATTTCTTATTCAGAAAGGGAAAAGAATACCTATTGTTTTATACACCAAACTGCAGGAAGTCAAGCCGGACAAAGTCTTGGTTGGAAATATTCCCAAGACAGACTCTAAAGGGGGCTTGGATTTGAAAACAGCATGAGAAGCCAGTGTCTAAGAAGTCAGTCTGGGAAGCGGCTCCTTCATGAAACAGCCACCCTGCCAGATACCACACTAGGCTCTCCAGTGGTGTGCACAGGATGCCTCCCTAGCTATTTAACTACTAATGGTTGGTAGCTGGTCTGGCAGCTACTTGATGCCTATGTGATTGACCAATTAATGGTTTGGGGACGCCTCATCTGACTAATGGTTTTGGAGTCTCTTCATCTGTCCAGCTGATGGTTTGGGGTCCCCCTCATCTAAGACTCCTGTTCCTTAAGGAAACCTTCCCAGCCCCTCCTGGGTCCCTTGGCTGCACTGGGTGTCTGCTCTGCACCATGACTGCTATGTTATAGCCATCTCCCTGTCTACCTCCCCTACCAGAACATGAACTTGAGGGAAGGGCACATATTTTACTTGCTTTCAGATGTTCTTTGGCAAACACTGTGCTTGGTATCCAGTGGCTAGTCAATGAATAAGCCACCTACTAATGAAAGGAAGCCCCCAGAGAGGCAGCAAATATTTCTTCCCTTTAAGACACGCACAATCGAGTTGAGAAAGCAAGAACCAGTCCCAGATCTAGTTCACTCGTGGACAGTGTCTGGCCCCAGGATGTCCAGGATGCTTTAATCAAACACATTTAAAAAAATAATTTATTTTTTATTTTGTATGTATGAGTGTTTTGCCTGCATGTATGTAAATGCATCACATGCATACAATGCCCACAGAGGTCAGAAGAGGGCATTGGATCCCCTGGAACTGGAGCTAAAAACAGCTGCTAGCTGCCATATAGGTGCTGGAAACCCAGGTCCTATGCAAGAGCAGCAAGTGCTCTTAACCTCTAACTATCTCTCCAAGCCCTTCTTAAATTAAAAAAAAAAAATCAATCATATGTATATGTGTGTGTCTGTGCACATGAGTGCAGGTGCCCATGGAGGCCAGAGGCTTTGGATCCCCTAGAAGCTGGAGTTACAGGCTGTTGTGAGTTGCCTGACTATGGTTGTTGGGAATTGAACCTGGGTCCTCTATAGGAGCAACAAGTGTTCTTAACCACTGAGCCATCTCTTCAGCCCAAGGGGTTTTAATTTTTTAAAAAATTCATTTATTTGTGTGTGCATATGTGTGTGTGAGTATATGTGTGCATGTGAGTACGTGCATGTGGGCATGTGCTGTGGCGTATGTGTGGAGGTCAGGGGACAATTTGAAGGAGTCAGTTTTCTCCTTCTACCATGTGGGCTCTGGGAATCAAACTCAAGTTATCAGGATTAGCGGCGAGCACCTTTACCCACTGAACTATTTTGTTGGCCCTCAAGATGCTTAAAATAAATCCTGGAAGACAGGGAGATAGCTTAGTCAGTAACTCCAGAACCCAAGTACAAACGCCAGGAGTGATAGCACATGCTTATAATCCCAGCACCGGGGAGGTGGAAACAGGAGGATAGCTGGGGCTTGTTGGCCAGCCCATTTAGCCTAATTGGTGAGCTCCAGGCCAATGAGAGACCTGTTCAATGGAGGTGGATCGCATCCCTGAGGATGACGGCCATGGGTTGTCTTCTGGCCTGCACACATGTGCACATGAAACTGCGTATACACACATTTTTAAAGGCTTCCTGGAAGAATTTATTGTTAGTTTTGCTGCTGTCTGGAAAACGTCTGAAAGTCCCTGGAAAGGAGGGTGAGGCAGGACGTTAGATCAGAATGTACTCAAGTGTCCAGACACTGTTTAGAGGTGGGGCTTCCAGAATCGTCTGAGGAGCTGCTTTGATTGGCCTAGTGTTTGCTGAGATGTGGCCAAGGTCAGCATCTGCTGATGTGTAATGAGGTTACTGTCAACACCCAAGGTGGCTACTGCTTTCTCAGGTGTCATAGGGGTCACCTGATCCTTAGCTCTACCCTGGGAGAAGGTCATTCCTTGGGTGGCATAGGGGTCACCTGATCCTTAGTTCAGCTCTACCCTGGGAGAAGAAAGTCATTCCTCTGCCAGGTCCAGGCTGGGGTCCTGAAATGTCCCAGGCTGGGACACAGGAAGAAATAATCTGTCCTCTATGAATCCCACTTGACAGCCACAGAAGGACTGTTTGAGATCTGGGGACCAAATTAAAGTCGTTAGGCTTGGTGGCAAGTGCCTGAGTCACTGAGCCATCTTGCCAGCCCCCAAGATGCTTTTTATTTTAGGAACTGTCTTTTGGGGGAACTCTTTGGTTCATGGAGAAGTATCTTGGGTTTCTTAGGGCAGTATGTGAGCAGAACAGCTGCTGGGGTCTAGCTTGTTCTCCATTACTGGGCAGGAGCCAGGAGCGGGACAGACAGTGCTGGCTGGTGGGATGCTCGGCACTGAAGCTAACTCGGGATGGGGCAGCTATAGGAAGAGGATGCTTAGCTTGTACCCTGTTGGTAGAGCAAACATGTACACATGCCTACAACACATAAACATAACACCTACAGTTACACACACACACACACACACACACACACACACACAGAGAGAGAGAGAGAGAGAGAGAGAGAGTTTGGTAGAGAAAGGCTGTCCCAGCTTAACTCTCACTCCTTTGTTCATTCATTAATTCAGCATCCATTCCATGTAGGCACTGTGCTGAACACATAGGGTTAAAGACCCAGAAATGAGTAATTAACCATTAGACAGTTAAATATTCAAGCAGTTATTTCTTAAGTACAATGTAGGTGCCTAGCCCATTGCCTAACAGGGTAAGCACTCATGAAATGTTTGTGGAATGAATGAATGGGTGTGGGCCTCACACAGGAGGGAGCATATGAATGAAGTCTCAGCTCTCTCTATAAAGTCCCAGCCCACTCTCCGCGAACCCCTCCCCTCCCAGTCCAGCGTGGCTACTTTACATAGGGAAGGCTCAATACAGCCACAATCTCTGATGGGGTGAATAACAGTCACTGGATCCCTAGTAGAGTCCTCCTTTGGTTTCTCTGGCAGACAGGAAAACAGACATTGGGGGAAAGGAAAGTGGGAAAGCCTGGACTTGTTTTTAACTTGGATCTGTCCTTCTCAGTTTCATCAATGCTAACCAAGTAACTGGCTGCATCTACCTGTGTGACAGAGCCAGTCCCCTATTTCCTGACAGCAGATCAGAGGTACCCATTGTGACAGCAGGGTCAGAGGGACCCATCATTACAATGAGATCAGAAGATCTATCTTTACAACAGAATCAGAGGGAATCATCATTACAATTGGGTCAGAGGACCCATCATGGCAGCGGGGTCTGAGGACCCATAATGACAGTGGGGGGAGAGGACTTAATCATGATAGCAGTCAGAGGTACCCAACATATGACTGTCCACAGTAGGGCAGACCCATGCACTTACAGAGGTCCACAAAGGCCCTACAGCATAGAAGAACAGCCTTTTTGGGGCCCTGACATGCTCTAGAGTACACTGTGATTACAAAGGGAGGCGGAGCCTCAGCTCTGGATTCCTCTGGAACCTGGAGTCCTGTGAGCAAATCCAGTTTCCCACGCCATCCTGCTATCCTGAAGCCTGGGGTGAGTCTGTCTCAGTGCCTCAACCATACCTCATAGAGCTCCTGGGAGGAAGCAATGAGAAGGGTGTGTGAGGAGAGGGGCAGCACCTGGTCCACAGAAAGTGCTAAGTGGCAGGTATTACTGCTACACTACAGAGACTAGGAAGGGCAGGCTGTAGGAACGGCAGGCTGTAGGAATGGCAGGCTGTGTCAGCCTGTGCCTGGCCAGCCAGATCTTCACAATAACAGCCAAAGCTAAAGCTCAGGAAGTCCTTCGGGGCGCCAGATACATATGTCATCAGAGCTATCCCCCAATTGGATACTGCTTTCCTCATTTAAGGCAGAGAAGACAGACAGAGCTCTGGAAATCAAGTGGCTTGTCCAAGGTCACTCAGCTGTTAAATTGCTGGACCAGGATATGGAATTTGTTGTTTTGTTTTGAGACAGGGTCTCACATAGCCCAGAAAGGCCTCAGACTCATGGTATAGCCCAGGCTGGCCTTGAATCCTGATCCGCCTGCCTCAGCTTCCCAGAATACTAAGACTACAGGCATGAGCCACCACATTCAACTTTGTCCTTCTGACTTTAAAACTTTCTTTTTTTTTTTTTTTTGTTTTGAGACAGGGTCTCCCTGTAGTCCCACTTGGCTTGGAACTCACTAGGTAGACCATGCTGGACTCGATTTCAGTTTCACAGAGATTCACCTGTCTCTGCCTCCTGAGTGCTAGGATTAAAGATACGCACCACCACACCTGGCCCGACATCAGAATTTTTGTGTCACCCATGCCACCCACCTATCTGAGTACCCTGGGCCCCCAGGCCTATCTCTCTCCTCAGCCCTGGAGGCCAGCCCCAACTTAAGCAAAAGCCCCCCTCTTGCACACAGTGGCAGAGCAAAGGGGAGGAGCCCATCACAAACCACAGCTGCACCTACTTGTCCGGTACTGTATGCCTAGTGCTGCCAGGCAGGCCACCAGCCCTGCCGCCAGAATCGCCACCAGTACTACCAGCCGCTTCTCCACCTGGGTCCTCGCCGCCCAGCACCTCTGGCCACTCCGGGGGCTGCGGAAGTTTACCTGCAGGGAAGGAGGCAAGAGGGGTGGGGAGGCCATGAACCCAGGGCCCCCCTTCCCCAGGAGGAAGGGGCTCTGTTGCAGGCCCAGGCCCTGAGGAGGCATCGTGCTGCCCTCCTGATTCAGGGGTGGTCCAGTTCCCACCAAATCAGCTCTAATCCAGAAAAAGAACCACCACCCTGGCCAGTAGCTCAGAGTTAGCAGCTCAACTCAGGCACACTGGTGTTTTGTGTCACCCGATACGGGTAGATGAAAAAAACAAAGCCTACAGCTTTTCCCTGTTTCTCCAGTAAAGGCTCAAAAAAGAACAGGATGTTTGGACTCACAGGCATTCAGAGGGCGGCCAGCTGGGAGCCCCCGCATCCACAGAGCCAGAGGCAAGCATGACATGATCATGGCTCATGTTTTCTGCAAGTGGGGACACATTTAGCTCATTAATCTTTCAAGAGCCTATGAGAACTGTCTCACTGGTTCACTGGTTCTTTTTTTTTTTTAATTTTTAAAATTTATTATTTTTATTTTATGTGTATGTGTGTATTGCCTGCATGTAGGTATGTGCTGGAGAGATGGCTCAGAGGTTAATACTGGTTGTTCTTGCAGAAGACCTGGGTTTGAATCCCAGCACCCACATGGCAGCTAACAGCTGTCCGTAACTCCAGTCCCAGGGGATCCGACAGCCTCTTCTGACCTCACTGGTTCTTTTTACAAATGAGGAAACTGAGGTTCCTGGCCACTCATCAGATAGCTGAATGGTTGGACTGGGATCTAAGCAGGACCCTGTAGATTCCAGAGCCCACCAGTGGGCCAGAGACAGGGGACTTAGGAGATGGTCGGGGAGGCAAGAAGAGAAATGGCTCCATTCTAAGGGAAGAAAAATGTGCCTGCCTCACAGTCTAGCTAAACAGGAAAGGCGGTACAATGAAGGGAAGTGGAGGGTGTGGCAGGCCCTAGGGGGCAGGGATGCCTGCCAACGGCACTCAAGACCCTCTAGTCTATACTCTTCACATCCAAAACCAGCCCGAGGGTCCTGCCGTGTTCCAAGGGATGCTCCTGCAAAAGCCAGGGACACCAGACAGGAAGTATCTCCTGAAGATGGATTAGTTCAGTGACATGACCCTGTACAAACAGCTGGGCACCAACTCCTGGGGAAGATGGAATCCTTAGCTTTCAACTGATTATAGCCCAGAGGGGAGGCAGATAATGAAAAGATGAGTGAACATGGCTTCAATCAGGGAAGCTTCCTGGAACAGGTGATGTCTGGATTGGACATGGAAAAGTAAACAGGAGGTGGAGGCAAGTGGGAGAGATGTAGTTCTACAGAACTCTATATGCTAGGGTAAAAGACAAGGACTTCCTCCAGTGGACCAGAGAGATATCATTAAAACTGATCTTTAAGAAGCATAAGGAGGAGAAAATGATGTTTGCAGGGAGTAGGAGAGGAGGAGCAGGACTCCTAAAAAGACCACCACAGCAGGCCAGGGGGTGTAGGGACACTAGGCTCTGTCTTACTAATTCCCCACATAGCTCTGCAGGGACTGCCCCCAGAGCAGGTCAGGGCTCAGAGGACATCCCTTAACTGGCACGTGAGACCTGAGATGGGTCATCTTAGGGAAAGGCAGTATGGCCAACGTGGGGTGACCCCTGGGTGGGAAACAGCTAGAAACTGCTACACCAGAGAAAGAGGAACATGAGGACTTTATATGGAAGAAAAACTGGCTTCTAAAACTGAAAAAGGATGTTGAGAACTGGAGACACTCTGTGAATGCCCAGGAGATGCAGACCCTCCAGTGGCAGTCAGGTAGAGGAAGAGAGAGGGGGATCCTACTGAAATCCCTCAGTTTTTCTTCTTTTGAGACTAGGTCCCGCTGTGTAGATCCGGCTGAACTTACAGAGATCTGCCTGCCTCTGCCTCCAGGGTTGGGATTAAAGGTGTGTACCACCACACCCAGCTTCTCGGCTTTCTTAAAAGAGGCAGAGGTTTCTAACCAGGCTACTCTCAGTTCCAGAGATGGTTTAGGGCACTGTGTGTTCATGTGGAAACAACACTCCAAAAAATCTGTAAGGCCCTTCTTCACATATCAGTTATCTATATTCAATTTGCCTAGGCACTAGTATGCAGTGGGGGACCTAAGGGCTCAGGCTAGCTGCTGCCCCTCTGGGGACACTAACATTAGTGCCCTTTCACCTGGCTCTTCTGCTCCTGGACTTGTGCCAGTCGTCCTCTTCTTCCCTGTGGCCTCTACTGACCCATAATCATGGCTCAGTTAACAGGGCAAAGGGGCAGTAAGACCTTGTTTTTTATTATTATTACTACTCATTTATTTTTATTTTATGTGTATGAGTGTATTGTCTGCATGTACGTAAATGCACCTGTGTTGTGCAATGCCCAAAGAGGTCAGAAGAAGGCGTTGGATCCCCTGGAACTGAAGTTATAGATGAGTGTTAGCCACTATGTGGGTGCTAGGGATCGAACCCGGGTTCTCTGCAAGAGCAGCCAGTGCTCTTAACCGCTGAACCATCTCTCCAACTCCAAGACCTTGGTTTAAAAGGCTTACATTGCCTGGCACCAACTCTGGGGAGCTGGGGACAGACTGTCCACTTGAGGGAAAGCCTCAATGGGACAAAAAAATGTTCTGAGGGGACTAAGGAGACATCCAAGAGCAAAGGCATCAAGGAGGGAGGGAGAGGGGGAGGGGGAGAGAGAGAGATGAAAATTAGAGGGAGGAAGAGAGGGGAGGAGAGGTACAAAGGCAACTTATAAATATTTGAGGTCTGACTTTTTGGGTCCAGCACCCACTTGTTCTATTTCGTTCTCAGTAGTGGAAATCTATCTCCACAAGCTCTTGAAGACCAGGCGGGTACTAGCATGGGTTCCAGAGGAAGGAGAAAGCAGGGCTTATGGAGAGAAAAGGGGAAGGGGACAAGGAGAAAAGCCATCCCTCCAGATGACAAAGCCCCATGAATGAGGCCCTGCTGTCCCCTGAGCACAGCAGGCAGGCTGTGGTGTCATTGTTGCGTGTCAAGCTAAGTGTTGAATCTAAACAGATGGCATCCAGGGGAAATTAAATTAGAATTAAGCCAGAATTGAATTAGAAAGTCACAGTTTCAAGTAAGAATGGCAAATGGGATCTGAAAATAGGATCATTAACCTTTGTTGTGTTCTTGTCTTGACTTTCATTGCTGGGCCAAGTACCTCTGGGTTTCTGGTCGGGACCTGCCTCTGAGGGTAGAGAGAATTTGGAGCAGCTCCGAGAAGCAAAAGTCACCTGGAGACACTGGGCTGGGAGCAGAGGAGGCTGGCCAAACCCTGGTGCGGTGGATGGGGCTGCGCTGTCATCAAGGTGCTGCTTTGTCCCTTTTCTCTGAGCCCCACTGTACCTGTCCTGTGTGCTTCTGGAGAGGATCCCAGGAGATGAGGTGACAGCTAGTGAAGACGTGAGCAGTTTCATGCTTTTCTTTTAGAAACGAGGACATGTCAATCATGGGAGACTGGGCTGCGGCCACTTGGAGTGCGAGCAAGAGGATTAGTGGCGAGCAGCCCAATTCATCTTGGGAGAAGTGCCTGGGAGGTGGCTGCCAGCCAAATAACAGAGCTGATGTCTGGTAGATGGAGTTGAAGTCACTGTGGACACTCAGCTCACTGGCAGGCTTAGTGTCCTACTTAATGTCATGTGAGGTACAGGCAGGATGAGAACAGGAGAGACAGGGATGCCCTCCAAAGAGAGAGGTGGAGAGGGAGAGGAAGAGGAAAGGAGCTAGAGACAGGAGCGGAGCAGTCCATCCCTGGCGTTCCCAGAGTTTGCACAGCAAGGGAACAAAGCCCTCATCAGGGATAAATATTCAGTTACAGAAGTGAGCGCCTGGCTCACCGAGGCTTACAGCAAGAACAAGTTCTACAGGTGAGAAAGGGCATCCTCCTGGGGCCCAGGAGAAGAGTCAGCAGTGCAGGGATGGGAGCCAGGCTAAGCCTGCTTTCAGTGTTAGGTCTGGAGGGAGGGTAGAGGGCCCCCGGCGACCTAACTTTGTGGGGCAGCAAAGAGGAGTGGTCTGCCAAAGCTTTGGCGGGTAGCCCACCCCCTTTGGCCCAGAGGCCCAGCATCATGATGACTGACAGGGGGACCAGGTTGCCTGTCTTGCTCAGAGTCAGCCTTTTGAAGCTGGCAGACCGTGACAGCTCAGCCTCGTGGGGGGCCCCTGCCTCTGTGGGGGGGGGGTGTCACTTTGGGGAAGTTCCTTCCAGTAAAGTTTCCATGAGGTAGACTTCCGGCTGAGGCCACTGAGGTCAGCCTAAAGTAAGACGATGTCCTCCCCTCTCTGCCACAGCCCCACCTACGCCCCCATGCCTGACCTTCAGATGACTGATGACAGCTTAATATTCCCTCCTATTGGGGAATGGACTCAGGAAGAATCGACCTTTGAAAAAGAATTGCAATCTTAGAAATGTTTGGTTTTCTAGAAGGAGTACCCAACTCCCCAAAGCATGTTGGAGAAAATCTGAAAACTTGAGAAGTTAGAAGTCAGCCAAGACCCTATAGTCTGTGCTGGGGCAGCCTCTGCGCATCAGTCTCCCATCTCTAGCACTAGGGAGCTGGGACGACGTTCCTAAGTGTGACCATTTCAGATTCTAGAACCTGCTAGTCAAAAGTCTTATGTTGTGGACAGAGTTGAAAGGATCTCTTGACAAGCAGAAGTTGTTTGGAAGTAATGAGTGGGTTTGTCTTGGAGTTGTTCTCCAAAGACAGACCTACAAGGGAGGAGGGAGATTTTCTTTTTCAGGAGTAACTGGACGTATCACAAAGGTTTTGATGGACAGCTGTGGCCAGGCTCCCCAGGCTGGCTGCAGGTGAATCTCAGCTATTTTCCTTCGAGCTATATCAATGCTGTGTTTAGGTGTGTGCTGGGGGGCAAGTATGAGGCAGGTGGTACTGGGGGAGCAGAGCTTTGGAGGAGAAAGGCTATCATACTAGAGGCATCTCTGAGATCTTATGCATGGTCAATTTCTGTAACAGCTAAGTCCATTTTCTAAGAGATGGGTTAGCAACAGTAACCCATCTTATAAAGAAAGCTGTGTGAGACACTTTCAGTTTTTATAGCTCCTGACAGGCAGATAGGGCTATGTGGCTTTAAATTGTGTGCGTAGCTTAGAGGGCTGGGGGTGTAGTTCAGTTGGTAGCATGATTGCCTAGCATACATGAAGCTCTGTTTGGCCCCCAGAACCCCATAAAACTGAGTGTGGTAGTGCATGCCTGTAATCCCAGCATTTGGGAAGTAGAGGCATGAGGATCAGAAGCTCAAGGTCAGTGTGGGCTATATGAGACCCTCTCTCAAAAATAAAATGAAACAAAATATATACATGTAGACCAGATATGACAGTGAACTTGGGAGACTGAAGTAGGTGCATTGCAAATTCAAGGCCAAGCTGGGTTACATAGTTAGGATTTTGTTTTTTGTTTTTTTTAAAGTGTGTGTGTGTGTGTGTGTGTGTGTGTGTGTGTGTGTGTGTGTGTGTGTGTGTGTGTGTGTGTATGCAAGGGACTGGCAGAGCTCATGCTAGGGAGAGGCTCTAAGCTAGATCCCTAACACACACACACACACACACACACACACATATATATGTATATGTATAAATACACACATATGCACACGTATGTTAAAAACTACAAGTCATTTTAAAAAAATATTTTATTATTTTTATCTTACGTGTATGAGTGTATTGTCTGCATGTATGTGAGTGCACCCATGTTGTGCAATGCCGCGGAGGTCAGAAGAGGGCTTAGGATTCCCCTGGAACTGGAATTAAGGACAGTTTGTAGCTGCCATGTGGGTGCTGGGAATCAAACCCGGGTCCTCTGCAAGAGCAGTCAGTGCTCTTAACCACTGAGCCATCTCTCCAGCCCCAAGTCATTATTTTTAAGTGGGATTAGTTTCTTTTAAAATCCTGTCTCTCTCTGTCTCTATCTGTCTCTGTCTCTGTCTCTCTCTCTCTCGTGTGTGTGTGTGTGTGTGTGCGTGTATGTGTACACGTGTGAGCTAGGTAAGCTCTCTACCACTCAACCACTGAGCTGTATCGCCTGCCCTTTAAATCTTTTTTCATACTGTCTTTTTTTAATTCACAGATTAACATGTAAAACTTGTATACAGAATAAAAGCACCAATGGTTAAAAACATTAAATTAGTATATAGCTAAACATGGTGGTACACACCTGTGATCCTGGCAGCTGGCAGGCTGAGGCAAGGAAGACCTGGAGTGTGAGAGAAACTGAGGTTGGTGGCTCTTGACTCTTAGAACGAGCTGTCTCGTGAAAGTCACAGGAACTCCAAGCAAGGCACACAGTTACCTACACAAATGTCCCCCAAATCTTCAGGCAACCTCGCTGCATTTTCCTTCATGGAAATCAGAAAACACATCTACTCAGGCAGTTTGGTGTGGGGACGCCAACACTGAACTTCAGCCCACACAGCAGCAATGGCCCCTCTTTCTCTGTGTCTCAGCTTCTCATCTGTGACATGGCTGCCTCAGGTAACAGCACAGTACTCCCAGAAGGACACACCTCACTCTAGCTTTCTCTAACCCTGTCTTACAGATGACGGTTTTTCACAGCTTGCCCAAGCTCACGAGGAAAGTCAGAATTTATTTCAGGGTCCCCGGCTTCAGAGAGCTTGCTCTCTGTGCTCAGATGGACTTAAAGCTGCTATGGAAAAGGCCATGTATACCCAGGTGGGCTGGTGTTACAACAACAGCAAGTCAAATTATTTAGTTGTGAATTCTGAGATGCTTTCGTTCTGATATATTTAGAACGTTCTATGGAAGATGAGACTCAAAAAGATGGCTGATTAGATTGTTTTGATTTGTGAATGGAGAGTGCTTGCCACGGAAAAATAATTTCCTGCTGGATTTAGCCTCTTATGAAAGGTTCCACAGGGAAGAGGTACTGGACAGACTGGGTTTGATTGCTACTCTGATTTCTAGCAAGGTAACTGACCTGAGGTGAGTTGTCTACCCTCGCAGAACCTCAATTTCCTCAAACACGAGTAGAGAGAGCAATACTACAGCATAGAGGTAGTCCTGACAGTTGAGTGGGTTGGCCCCTGTAGGTAGGGGGCCAAATCTGCTGGGTGGAGGCTCTTGAGCTAAGGAGTTGAGCATCTTCCTGGGCCTATATGACTAGCCAAGAGGAGGACGAAGGGGAGCTCAATGAGGGCCACTTTCCTTTATTAAGAATAGAATTCCAGGGGCTGGAGAGACTGCTCAGCAGTTAAGAACACTGGTTGTTCTTACAGAAGACTCGGGTTCAAACCCCAGCACCCACATGGCGGCTAACAACTGTCCATAACTCCAGTCCCAGGGGATCTGACAGCCTCCTCTGACCTCCATGGGCATTGCAGGACACGGGTGCACTTACCTACATGTAGGCAATACACGCATACACATAAAATAAAAATAATAAATAAAATTTAGAAAAAAAGAAAAAAGAATGGAATTCCAGCTTCCTAAAGGTGTGCCTGCCAGGAGCTGGGCCTGGCAGGCTGAGGTTCCACTCTTGTGATTGCCCTTGGGATAAGCTTAGGAGGTGTCCCTCTGGTGGCCCAAGCCTCTTCCCAGTCTCTTCCCAGATCTCGATGATCTCTGGAATGGTTTCTCAGGAGCCAGATTACAGGGCCACCCTGAGTGCTCCTATTTCCAACTCACTCCCCCTTGCTTACCCATGTCCCAACCCTACCCAGGCTGATGGCCTGGCCAGAAATGCAGGAGTGCAGCTCCAGGCAGAGAGAAAAGGAGAAAGTAGCCCAGGATCTCCTGAACTGCAAGGCACTATCATGCCCAGAGACATCAAGTCTATGAGATTCTCACAGGGACAGACCCTGGAGGGAAGGATCCCGGCTTCCAGAATAGGGCGACAAGGGGCAGGGAGAGGGGACAGAAGGCTATTCCTTCCTCCAGGAAATTAAGGTAGAGAGGAAGAATAGAAATAAAGGGATAATGTTGCTCAGATAGGACTCCAGGGAGGCAGGACCCGGCATGCTGAGGCTGGAACAGCTTTAGACTGCCAGTGCTGGGGCTGTGTCACTCTGGGCAAGTCCCCTCATAGGCACACTGCTGTGAAAAGGCAACTGGACCAGTTCAGGCAGAAGAGTGCTTCAACTCAGTACCTGGGCTGTGGGCCGGGAACAGGTGGCCAGGAGGCTCTGAGGATGGGCAGGGCTGATGTGGTATGGAAGCGGGTCTCGGGTCACTGCTACCCAGGAAGGGGTCCCATCAGGGCTCAAAGATGCGGGGCGCACGGTCCCCTCCAGATTGGCAGACAGGGGGCGGGGCGATGCCAGTGCGCATGCCCGAGCCCGGGCACTGTCCGGTGTGCCGGCTCAGGGCTCTTACCTGCAGGCCATTGGGGTACACATCGCCCTCGGAGAGCGAATCCACCAGGTCCTCTTCGTCCAGAGTGGCCCGTTTGTAGGTCGACATCTGCAAGGCCAAGTGCAACACGAACTCTCTCAGCGCCTCCATGGCCCGAATGGGGAAGTGGCCCCAGCGCCCCGCCCCGGCCACCCGAGATCGGCCCACGGAGGGCCCCGCCCCCGCAATCCCTCCCCGCCCGCCACGCCCGCCTCACCCCCAGCACCGACAACACGGTGGCCAGCGACGACCACGCGCTCCGCATGCTGCGCCCGTCCTGTCCTGTCCTGGTCCTGTCCCCAGCCTCCCCGCTGCCCTGCCTGGGGCGGGCCTGCAGCAACGCCACCTTCGCGGGCGGGGCTTGCAGGGCTCAAGGCCCCGTTCCCTCCCTGGCCTCCCGCGAGAGTCCTGGGAGAGATGAGGACCTCTTTCTTCCCACGCCAGGCCCGGGCCCCAGACCCTAGCTGGCAAGAAGGGGATGCCACACGGAGCAACTTAAGCTTCCCCTTAAAGGAATCTCCCTAGTAGCAGAGGTCGAGGTCAGCAAAGCCTAGCCAGGTCAAGCCAGGTTCCTTCACCATCAGCCCTTAGGTGAGAGGAGGGGGTCTTCTCCACCCAGCTAGGACTAGGGGAGAGGTGGAGTCAAAAGTCCTCCTACGTCCTCGGTTCCCTTTTCCTCTAGGCTCAGGGGTTTTGAAAGCCAGAATTCTGAACGAATGTCACAGTATTCTAGGGGAATCCCCTGTCACAGAATGAAAAACTGCTGAGTGCATTTGGGGGCTTGCCACCATCCCTTAGAGGTGGTGGCCCTCCTGTACATATTAAGAATCATTGCTGGGGCTGGAGAGATGGCTCAGCAGTTAAGAACACTGGTTGTTCTTGCAGAAGACCCAGGTTCAAATCCCAGCACCCACATAGCAGCTAACAACTGTCCATAACTCCAGTTCCAGGGGATCCGACAGCCTCTTCTGTCCTCCGCAGGCATTGCATGACACCGGTGCACTCACATACATGCAGGCAATACATACACATAAAATAAAAATAATAAAGAAAATATTTAAAAAAAAAAAAGAATCATTGCTAAGTGCACACCTTTGATCCCAGCACTCAGCCGGGAGAGGCAGGCAGCTCTCTCCAGGACACCTGGAGAGACAGGGGAAACCTGCCCCCACCTCCAAAAGAATCATTGCTTTATGGGGCCAATGAATTAGCTTACTGGGTAAGGACACCAAGCCTGAGAGCCCGAGTTCAATCCCTAGGACCCACATAGTAGAAGGAGAGAGCCAATTCCCACACGTTGTCCTTTGATCTCTAAGATGTATTCCATGGACACACCAAATAAATAAAAGCAAAAGCCATGTGTTAATTAAATTTTTTAAACACATGCAGGGCATGGTGGTACATGCCTTTAATTCCATTACTTGGGAGGTAAAGGCAGGTAAATATCTGAGAGATCAAGGCCAGTCTGGTCTACTACATAGCTAGTTCCAGGCCAGCTGGGACTACAGGGAGACCCTAATCTCAAACCCTCCACAAATTAAAACATGCTTAAAAGAACCCAGAAAAGTGAAGTTGGCTGCCATGTTCCCTCTCAGGAGTTCAGAGCCTTCTGTAAATATCCCCTCACCAGCCTCTCCTGTGAACCCAAGCGGGAGAAGTGATCTCTGACAGGAATCAAGGATCACTTAGGGACTGTGGGCCCCAACATTCTGTCTTCCACGCCAGGACTCACAAAGGCCTAACACAACCATTTTCCAAAAGACACACCCATTATAATCACTTAAACATTTTTCAGCTTCCCCAAATGACTGTTCACTCCCCATTCAGTTCTCCTTAGTACATATGTGCAAACGAACCAGCCTGTGTAGGAGGTGGCTGTCCAAGGTGGGGGGAGGAGTCAGCAAGAAAGGTGTCTCCAGAGGGTTCCCCAGCTACACCCTGACTTCTAACGACACACTCAGTTCCCAGAGTCAGTCTTCATAAATGAAATTCTCATTTTGCCACCCTGGATTTCAAGTCTTCAGTGACCTACCATAATGAACCCCAACCTTTTGTCAGGCCCTGGCCTGCCCATTCCTGACTCTTATCTTCAGTTGTTGCCCACTGAGGCCCCAGATATGGCCTTTGGCTTTTGTTCGGTTCAGCAGATACCCAAGTTGCCCCTTTCTCAGCCAAAACGTTTTTAGCAGCCCCTTCCATCTGGAACATTCTTTTCTCTCTTTGCTCCTCCCACAGCCAGCTACAGCTTCATGTCTCAGCTTAAAGGCCACCTGCTCAAATGTCCAAACCACTCTGAGTTGCTTCCCAAATTCTCTATTACAGCAGCCTGTTTATTTCCCTTATAGTATTTGTTGCTGTCTGTTAATTCTATAGTTGTTTTGTTTTGTTGAGACAGGGTTTCACTGTGTAGTTCAGGCTGGCCTGTAGCCCAGGCTGGTCTGGAACTCATGACCTTCTTACCTCCACCTCCCAAGTAGTGGGATTCCAGGTGTGCACCACCACATGTACCCACCAACACTCTGTCATTATTCTCATTATTCCATTGCTGTTTTTAAGTCTTTACTGTCTGGGTCTCTCTCTCTCTCCCCAGAAGCATGAGCTTTGTCTGCAGTGGCTGGGCCCTTATGGGAGAATCCTCATCACCAAGCATGGAATTGGTACTCAACGAACAGTTCCGAAGCTAAACAATGGACTGAATGGTGATAAGGAGAAACCTTCAGAGCTTCATGAAGTCTGTGTCTAACTTCATAATGACTAAGAGCACAGAAACACACCTAAGGGACACAGGCCCTGGGGTAAGCAAGGTGTATGTACTGGGGGGGGGGGTTATTCTTGGAACTTCTGCCTCGCTCTCACTGAATGGACGAGGTCCTATTACATCACTCCAGGAGAGAAAGGTCTCCCAAGGTTTACTGCTAAGAGTTTTCTAAACTGGGGCTGGAGAGATGGCTCAGTGGTTAAGAACACTGGCTGTTCTTGCAGAAGACCTGGGTTCGAATCCCAGCACCCACATGACAGCTAACAACTGTCTGTAACTCAAGTTCCAGGGAATCCGACGGCCTCTTCTGTCCTCCATGGGCATTGCACAACATGGATGTACTTACCTACATGCAGGCAATACACATAAAATAAAATAATAAAATATTTTTAAAACTGAGTTTTCTAAACCAAGACACTTGGTTACATTAAGTGGCAGGTGCTAATCATCAGAGGAAAAGGCCCTGGAAAAAGTTTTGAGTTTCCCAACACCTCCTCTGGGCACCTTGGTGGATGAGATAATTGCCAGCCCTTTTGCTCCATCCTCCCTCTCAATCTGGTATCCTTTCCCTTTGGCGGGTGTCACTGGCCCCTTTTATGCAGAATGAAACCAAAGCTAAGGGAAGTAGCTGGCAGGTTAGGCAATGACTCCTTCCACTTGCAGCTCATTTCAGAGATCTCCTCTTCTGGGAAACCTCCACCATCCTCCCCAGACCCTATGCAGCATCTGCTCCCCTGATGTGTCCTCAGAGCCTCCACCCATGCTGCCTCTCTAGAAGACAGGAGGGCAGTGAAGGCACATCCTGGTCCATACCCTCAAAGGCCTAGTATGGGGCTAGGGCCTCTAGAGGTTTAAGCAAAGGTGGGGATGGGGGTGGGAGTGGGGTAGGGTTGGACAACTATGTCCCACCCACCCCACTGCAGTGGTCAGTGGCTGGATGACATAGGCAGCTCACATACCTCCCAAGAGAAATAAGTGTCATGAAAAGCTGTTGATTTTTTGGCCCACAAAAGCCTGACTCCTCCCCGTCTTCCTGTAATGCTGCTGGGGCGTGCAGTGAAACTGCACCTACCTCAGTTATGGGAAAGGCTTAGCACTTCTCCCGTCTCTGTTTGGTGGGGAGCATGCCAGGGACAAGTGGGTGGCACTCCAGCATTGGCAGTCCTCTCTCTAGACCTACCAGGCATGAAGAATCCCCATAGCCACCAGAGCCAGCTCAGCAGGCAGATCTTCCATTTATAGACAGGGGAAGGAGTGGGGCTGGACAGAACATATACCATCTGGGTACTACTTAAGACGTACCTTTCAGAGTACTTCACCCCTCTCAGGCAACATCTTTATCTCCACTTAACAAATAGACCAGTGAGGGTCAGGGAGGAGTCAGCCCCTCTAATCCTCTGGCTGGACATTAAGACAGCCAGAGTGTAAATCTTCCTGCCCACCTGCAAAGCCACCTATGCTGGCTTCGTTATGCTGCCCTCAAGGAGACCAGACCACAGAGTCAGTCAGTGCCAGTCAGATCTCAAACCTGGGCCCTGGATACCAAGACCTATGCTCTCTGTGGATGGCAAAGCTGATTCTTCAGGTGGAGATATCATGGAGTCTGGATGTCCTGGGAGGACCAAACACTGGGCTGGCATGATGGGATGGCACAGGCTTGTTCTAATAGCCTCATCTATAGTGGCTGTGAGTGCCACATGTGGCCCCTGAGCTTCAGGACAGTAGAGCTGGTGCTTTGTGGTGAGCCTTCCCCTGGATGGAGAAATCTGGGATGTATCTGTTCCCAAGAAGGGTTGGCTGAGATCAAGAATGGCAAAGTGGGAACCATAGTTCCCAGAGGAATGCTGGTCTTAGGTCCCCGATGCTTGGCCTCACAGGGAAAGTGACCACATGAGGAGAGCAGTGCCAGCTCTAGATACCTGTCCTGCAGCCACTGAGGGGGCCTGGAGTGGGGAAAAGCTGAGACACAGAAATGCTCATGTGTTTCTGATGCCAGAGGCCTCATGGCCTGGTGGTACCCAGGCAGCCATTGGCCTTGACAGCTTTAGTCACTCAGATAGCTCTTGTGGTTGGTTTGCCCAAGGCAGGAAATCATCAGGGAATCTTGGAGTTGTCAGAGGCAACAAAGTGTACAGTTTCGGGCCTGGGATGAATGGCCACACCCTGAGCTGTTTTCACATTCTGTCTCCACTCCTCAGATGGCCACTCTAGCAGTCAAGTGCCCATCATTGGTTTCAGGTGCCAACAACTAGCTGGGACGTTAGATGCTTATGTATCACCCAGCACACGGTCATATTACCTGGTAGCTAAAGGCATATACATTCAACAGGCACAAGCATAGCTCTTGCTTCAAATCTCAGCTCACTGTCCCCTTCTGCAATTTCCTAGCTGTGTGATCTTGATCAAGTGACTTGGTCTCTCTGTTCCTCAGGTGAATCATTTGTAAAATGGGGTGATTTAACAGTACCTCCCTCATAGGACTGTTGTGACACTTAAATGAGTTAATATAGATAAAATGCTTAGAACAGTGCCAGGCCTACAGCAAGTGTTAGTTATTACATTGTCATGACTTAGTCTGTGCATTTAGAGGCCAG